CTGTAAACTAAATTTTAGAATTCATCCTACATCCACCCAACCGGTCGAGGCAGATGGCTGTCCCTCCCTGAGCCTGGTTCTGTCTGAGGTTTTTTTTTCCCCTGCGGGGGTTTTCGGTTCCTTCCCACTGTTGCGGACTGCTTTCGGACTGCTGAAGCTTATAGGGAATCCAAATGTTTTGGATTGTTGGGTGTTTCTGTCTCTGCCTTTGTTAAGCGCTATGAGATGACTTGTTGTTGTAAATATACGCTATACAAAATAAAATTGAATTGAATTGAATATCAACCTTTCAAGGCCGAAGTGGGGGAGCAGAATGAATTTGATGGCCCATTATACCTGGATTGGTCTGTTCAACTGCTCCAAGTTGGTACCCATCTTGCGAGTAAGTTCTGGAATTCCATCCAGTTTGCAATTAAGTTTGCATATCACTTGAGTCTGACTGTTGGCAGCCCAAAACATTCCCTCAATGACGGGCAGCTTCTCAATTGCCGAAAGTGCTGCCATCGCCTTCTGAACTTTGTGATAAAACAGGAACCCGCAAACTCCAAACAGCAGGAAGCCTGTTCTCATAATCCCAATTATGTAGACATCCTCCACGGAAAGTATAGAGAGGCACACGACCTTCCACTCCTTCCAGGAGTCCGTCGTGTATCCCGCTGCAAACATTCCGTCAGGGCAGGCGGGCTCTCCTTTGCTCAGTTTTCTCATTGAGAAAATTTGATCAATTGCGTTGAGAGACCAGCTGATCAAATCCATGATTTCAGGTTTTGGAGAGAAATGTAGAGAGATGCTCTGATAGATTCAGACAGAGACAGCTCAAGACAAAGAGCAACAAGCAGGGCAGATAAGGGCAAGGTAGGGATAGAAAGAAAAAGCATCCGCCTTTGTTGAGAGGAGGAAGAGAAGCTAGCCAGAGGTGCCCTGACTGCCATCAGGTACCAGGATGAGATCCTCAGACCCATTGTGAGACCATATGCTGGTGCCATGGGCCCTGGCTTCCTTCTGATGCATGACAGTGTTAGGCCTCATGTGGCCAAAGTGTGTCAGCAGTTCCTACATGATGAAGGCATTGATGCTATGGACTGGCCTGCCCATTCCCCAGACCTGAATCCAATTGAGTACATCTGGGACATCATGTCTTGTTCCATCCACCAATGCCACGTTGCACCATAGACTGTCCAGGAGTTGACTGATACTTTAATCCAGGTCTGGGAGGAGATCCCTCAGGAGAACATCCGCTGCCTCATCAGGAGCATGCCCAGGTATTGTAGGGAGGTCCTACAGGTATGTGGAGGCCACACACGACTGAGCCTCATTTTGACTTGCCCTGAGGAATTTCCACTGAAGTTGGATCAGCCTGTAATGTGATTTTCCACTTTTATTTTGAGTATGATTCCAAATCCATACCTTCATGGGATAATAATTTTGACTTACATTGATCATTTTTCTGTTATTTTGTTCTCAATGCATTTCACTATGTAATGAATGAAGTTTTTCAACTGGAATATTTCATTCATTGAGATCTAGGATGTGCTATTTTAGCGTTCCCTTTATTTTTTTTGAGCAGTTTCTATGTTGAATTTAACAACTTTTGAGACCCATTTTGATTTATCAAATGTTCCATATTCGATAAATCGCATATATGGCTGAAATGAACACTGAACAGAGAAACTGATGATAATCCAACATACGTCACAATAAATGTTCTGTTTATTTAAACACTTCATGGCAATAACAACAAGACAAGTGAAATTATAGGTCAAAAGCCAGACAGAAATGGTACTATTAGTTGGCAGACATCCCAACTTTAAGTATAATTATGTGGCATGGTTTTTGGGACACATTTCACCAACTTTTGATTATGTTTTAATATTGGTAGAATTTGATATCACCTGAGGAGGCCACTTAAACTGTTGCTGACAACTATAATTGTTGGGGTTAAATATTCATCACACATTCAAACAGTGGTCAGAGTTATGTATCATCAATTGTTTATTAGTAAACCAGAGTGAAATTTACAACTAAGGGAAGGAATTGAATAATCTGTGTTTCTGTACAGGACTAAATATACTACAATATACATTATTAGTACAGCAGTCAAAAAGGAAAATTTCACGTTACAGCAGTGTCATCTGATCTATACAAACTTTTTTGAAAGAAACTGAAGTCTCTGTAGATGGAACTTTTAAACTGACCCCTTATTAAAAGCAGCAGTTGTAACTGATATAATACACTGAAGGTTTCTGCAATTCTTTTGAAAAAGATGTAATGTTCTCCTTAAATGCAACTTGTATATCTAGTCAGATTTGTTGATTTAATGCGCATGACATTGGTTTAACTTCTTTTCATGTTCTCTTTATGCAAAACAGTTACAAAGAACCACCACAGAAAGCCATTAGATTTAACAAGACAACAATTTATATACATACATATTTAACATTTTCTAAAATACATTATTGAACAAAAAATTAATTTTGTATCACTATATATGGTTTACATTGAATCAAGTGGCACCATTACCCATGTCCTCATAGGTATAGCAGAATATGATAGACACGTAGTTATAAGATGGCTCCCGTTATCCTCCATCCATCCATTATCTATACACCACTTAATCCTCATTAGGGTTGCGGGGGGCTGGAGCCTATCCCAGCTGATTTAGGGCAAAGGCAGGGGACACCCTGGACAGGTCACCAGTCTATCACAGGGCCACACTTAGAGACAGACAACCAAGCCCTCTCACACTCACACCAATTTAGAATCAACAATTAACCTTAACATGTTTTTGGACCTTGTGGGAGGAAGCCAGAGAACCCGGAGAGAACCCACGCTACACGAGGAGAACATGCAAGCTCCACGCACTGGGACATGAATCGGCGACCTTCTTGCTGCGAGGTATCAGTGCTACCAACTGCGCCACCTTGCAGCCCAGCTCCCGTTATCTTTCCCTTGTAAATTTAACGTGGTTCTGTGAGAGTCACCATGTATTCATTGGACTGTTTCAGAGATTTTATCAGATCCATGTCTCACAGTGTGACATGCAATTAACAATTAACTCACAGAATCACTGCTGAAGCGGTCGAAAGGCACTTAAGCTGAAAGATCTATTTTAAACCTTGACATATTGTTACGTTTTTCAAATTTGTTTCCCACAGATGTTTCAGGATTACAGCTTCTCATCTGAGCTCACATGTGGTGCAACAAACTACCGCTCTGACTGAAACTTTTCTCACATGTTTCATAGGAACACGGGTTTTCACCTGCATGAATTCTCATGTGGTACAATAAATCACGACGTTGACTGAAACTTTTCCCACATGTGTTGCAAGAATATGGTTTCTCACCTGTGTGCGTCCTCATGTGGTACATTAAATCACGACGTTGACAAAAACTTTTCCCGCACGTGTTACAAGAATATGGCTTCTCCCCTGTGTGTGTTCTTACGTGAACAGTTAAATGACCACGTCGACTGAAACTTTTCCCACATGTTTCACAAGAATACGGCTTCTCACCTGTGTGAGTTCTCATGTGAGCCAGCAAACTACAGCGTTGACTGAAATTTCTACCACAAGTCTCACAAAAATAAGGTTTCTCACCTGTATGTATTCTCATGTGGGATAATAAATCATGACTACGGCTCAGACTTTTGCCACAAATTTTGCAAGAATAAGGCTTCTCACCTGTGTGAATTCTCATGTGGGACAATAAATGACCACGTTGACTGAAACTTTTCCCACATGTTTTGCACAAATACGGCTTCTCACCGGTGTGAGTTCTCATGTGTCGCAACAAATTACAACTTAGACTGAAACTTTTCCCACATGTCTTGCAAGAAAATGGTTTCTCACCTGTGTGGATTATCATATGGGTTTTTAGCTGAGAGCTAAAACTGAAACTTATCCCACATGTTTTACAGGCATACGGCTTCCCACCTGTGTGGATTCTGTGATGTTTTTTCATTTTGAATGCATCCTCAAACACTACACCACAAACATCACATTTTACAGACTTTTCCTCTGTGTCAGTATTACTGGAACTCTCTGGCAGAGGAGAGTTATCGTTATTGTCACTGCTGTTTCTTTGATGTCTCATCTTTCGCTTACACTCCACATCAGTAGGTGATCCTGAGTCTACATGCTTACTTCCGTCCTGACCTGGGCTCTCAGCTACTGAACAGTTTTGAAGGAGGAGCTGGTCACTGTTTGATTCTGGTTCACTGTGGTTACTTTCTTCATATGTAATAGTCACCATAAAGGTATCAGTCTCCTGTTTAATACAAAGCTGCTCTTCCTCCTGTTCCTCTTTAATCTGTGAAAGCTTGGGATCTTCCTGGTCCAGACTGGTGCAGAGTTCCTCCTGTTCCTCTTTAATATGTGGAGACGCTGCGTCCTCCTGGTCCAGACCGGTGCCGAGTTCCTCCTGTTCCTCTTTAATATGTGGAGACTCTGCATCCTCCAGGTCCAAACTGGAATTCCTCTCGCGGTTACAGATGTGCTGGTCACAAATGTGCTGGTCAGTGAGAACGTCGTCCTTGCAGACATGTTGCTGTGGGAGATCTGGAGGGACAACAACAAAAAGGACACTCGTGACGATAGGAAAACACACATCTCAGCAAATATATTGTAGTCAACCCAGTTAAGCCCAAGCAATGTATACTTTTTTGCTTCTATCACATCTTTCATTGCAATATACTGTACATTCTGCATGCACTTTCTGAAAAGGGGCTATTCCATTAGCATAGTTCTACAGTGCAGGCATCTTGCTCACATATTACCGTGAAATTTGACATTTCTACAAAGCAAGTTTTCCTCCAGGATCTCCAAAGAAATACAACGCATGGCCTGTTGTCTCGTTAGACAGACAGCTTTTAGGTAGGGGTAGCTGTGCTAGTTAGCCACCTTAGCATGTTAGCCTTTCCAGTCCAAGTGTGTGACGTCTTAGTTAGCTCCCACTTCCAGCTCGTGTTTCTAAACTCTGTAATAATCTAAAAGTTAAGTCAGTTTCTGCTGAACGTTGTACACTAAGACACGTCTAGCTTCACTTGCCTGTCGTGTGTATCGCTATCTGTGGTTTCCAGATGTTATCCAGCAGTCTGCGCTGACGATCGAGCTCTTCCTCGTACTGGACGATGGTTTTTTCAAACTCTGTGAATATTTCTTCAGCAGCAGCAGTTAGTCGCTCTTTGATCAACTCTCTCATATACTGAACCGAACTCATCGTTACTTCAACTGATGAACTATCTGAGCTACAACACAACCGTCTTCCAGCTCAGTCCACACATCGGTAAAGCTGACGCTGCTGGAGGATTTTCATTGTTTACTTCCGCCTGGTGTCACACTATGAAGCTCCGGCCGAATCAATGAGTTAACTTTTTGTTTCCGCTTTTAAACAAAAACCAAAAACATTCACTCGCATACATATATACATTCAACTTATAGGTCATAATTTAACTACATGGTTGAATGTAGGTGTTTTGTATTCTACAGTAGAGGTACAGTGAAAGGAAAATTAAAAGAGTCAAAGTACAAAAAAAGCTCAAAAAGGATGCATTGTTTTTGTTTTTTGAAATTTAAGCATTCAAGATGTCGCGTGTGTGTAATCTGAATGCAATCTTGCCCATCTGAGGACAATCATGCTGTACTCAGGATTCCCAAGTAAATTTACTAATTCACTATAAATAAGTATCGACAGATCCACTCCACATAGCTGGTTTGGGACGTGGCAGAAGAAGTACTCAGATTCATGAATCATGAATGTGTTAATGGGGTCAAAAGATTAAAAAAAAAAAAAGAAAAAAGCTTTATCTAACATTTTTGGCTGAATTTTGAGAAATTCTAACTTTGAATTTGAACAACAGATGCTTTGTTGGAAAGCCTGATTTAAGATTCAGTATTGCCAGAACTTTACCTCCCATAGCCATAAAACTTGGTAAGGACACAAACAGAAGTAGATACAAATGACTGAATGGCTGCAGCAGGGTTTTGACCTGTAACTCCTGGTCCTTGAAAAAGGTAAATATTTATGTATATACCAACATTTTATTACAGAGTGTAGTTACGTTGCATTCGTTGAATTAGGGACACCATCTCAGTTTACTGAAAAACTATTTTAAATGAAATCTCAAAGAGACTTTAGTTCAAATGGAGTTGATCAGTCTGTTATTTGAAAGTCTTAAATTCAGATTAAATTGAGTCAGCTCCCACACAAACAAAAATACAAAACCGTGAATTGGTCTAAAAGAAAAGTGTTTATTAACTATTCTACTAATATAATACACATGAACTGTAAACAGTGAGATTGAAGTGTGTGCAGTGAACGTGTGGTTTCAGATTACCCAGCTAAATGAAGAGGATTATGGTGGTAGCAGGATAGTTAGTGAACGATCTAATGATAGTGATTAATAATTTGATTCACAATCGATACGCTTATGAGTTATGGAATTGTCATAACATCAACCTGATCAGGAGCAGACAGAAAGGTTGGCTTTGCCTACTTTGTGCAGTGCTGATGGTATTGGAGTCTCCTTTGGCTGGAACAGCTGTTGTTGGGCTGGACACTTTTTCCCGAAGGATCCAGGCTGTCTCCTCTTGAAGCGTTGTGAAGTTGCCTGGCAACGTGTTCTGCCGTAGAGTTCTCAGCAGCGCAGAGTTGGAGGCCCATCAGCAGCTTCCAACGTTGGCACACAGTGATGGATCTGTCGGTAGGCAGTCGGCGTCCAGTGCGTGGTGTGTGAGCTCCTCGGAGTTGATGAAAAAATGATTTCACTATTAACGATGGCTCTTGTTGTGTTTTCGGTAACGTTTGGCACTAGCTGAAAAACACAGAAATTTTCGAAAACTGAGAGTGAAGGCGCGGTGTAGTTGATCTGTTACAAAAACTTAATTTCTACTGATTCTTGTCGGTTTGGTTTGACAGAATCAAACCTATAACTTGAGACTTTAAATGAAGGTGAACACTATCTTAAAACAAATGATCAGCTCTCTCAGATTCTGAACTGAACTCATCGTTACTTCAACTGACAAATATTACAAATATTACAAACATTCATCTGAGACACAAGAACACAAACGTCTTCCAGCTCAGTCCACACATCAGTAAAACTGCTGCTGGAGGATTTTCATTCTTTACATCCGCCTAGTGTCACACTGTAGAATTTTGGCAGAAACACTGAGTTAATTTTCAGGCAAACTTCTTCTTCTTTGTGGATTATAAGTGCATTTTGATGACTAACAGACAAATTAATAATGAAAGTTAGTTGTAGCCCTGCAGCAGCCACAGCAGGAATAGTGTTGAGTAGGGTATGTCTGCAGAGCTGGAGGCTGCACTCTCAGGACCACATTCATTCACACTGGTACTCCTTAATAACATTAGGGCATTGTGTGAATTTAAATAGTACATCCGTTACCCTTACCTTTGATGGTAAACCAGACCACAGAAGTAGATCTGCTCAGCCTCCTGTGAGGACAGATTTTCCTGGACAGACAGGCCATATATGATGGCCTACCAGAAGAAAATGGTTAATTTTGAAATAATATAATTTAAATCTACCACTTTACAGCGTAGCAAGCCATGTTAGACAGGTACATACACAAGTAGCACCATGAAAGGCATGCTATTTATTTATCCTGTAAAAGTGCAGGAGCACAAACATGTATAAGTACGGGACACTACACGGCTAAGTCTACCTCTGGAAACACAACACCACAGATGAACTGCACTTCATCTATGAAGCTGAGCTGTGCGGCTGTTCCATACAGTACAGCCTTTAGATATGCAAAAAGCTTGTCCTGTTGTTCTTCACTATCCAGGTAGACAGGCATCTGAGAAGAAGACTTCTGATGAATCCACCAAGAAGGTTTGCCATTGAGTAAATCCTATGATCAAACCAAAGTACAGAAACAATTATTTTTTTGGAACTCAGGCTTTTGAAAACAACAACAACAACAACAACAACAACAACAACAACAACAACAACAACAACAACAGAAAAACAAAAACAAAAAACAGCCACAAACTGCTATGTCCACTGATGATATCACTAACAAAGCCCGTAAGTGAATCTTACGGGGATGGCTCTGTAGAATTGTTACGGGAAATGTACATTAATGATGACTTCAAACATAGTTTTTTTCACAGTTCACCAAGTTACCAACAACTTTACTGTGCAAATGAAGACAACAGAAATGTTTATGTTAAACAATAAAACGATATAAACAAATGTTTATTTGTTTTATGACGTTAAACTAATAAAACAATTCACAATAAGTACTCACGTCGTGACTGTCTTCCATCATGGCGACAAATGCTGCTACTTTCTTTGGCATTTAACTCAGCAGGTGATTATTATTTTATTTATTATTTTACCTGTGAACAAGTACGTTAATTACGCCATTTAACCAAATGCAAGTCATAGCAACCAAGTTATTGTTGTAATAAGTAGTATTTTGGGTGGAATAAACCTTTCAAACCTTAACTTGTCAGTTAAAAAGCACTCTAAGCATTCTAAATTGTCCATGGGTGTGAATGTGAGTGAGCTTGGTTGTCTGTCTCCAAGTGTAGCCCTGTCCAGGGTGTCCCCTGTCTTCGCCCTGAGTCAGCTGGAATAGGCTCCAGCCCCCCCCCCGCAACCCTAGTGAGGATTAAGCGGTGTATAGATGATGGATGGTCCAAGTTGCAGCAGTAGCAGAAGGCTGGATGCAGTGTGTGCTTACTACCACTAGAGGGCGGCAGTGTAACACTGATAATCCTGACTTTAGCAGCAGCATCATGCAGACACTTGTTTATGGACACATGTTGACATGTGACAGCTGGAATTAATGACATTAACAACAGATCAAACAACAGATCAGGAAACTCAAATATTGTGTAACTGCAGCAGAATACAAGTGACAAATATGAAAAGTAAAAATCATGTCAAATGCAAATGATAAATTATCAGAATTTAAAAATGATTCTTATATTTGTATAGTGCGCATGCCAATTTCAAATTAAAATGAACTGGAAGTGGAGGTAGGATCATTGTCGGACTGATAACAGTTTACATTGTTTAAAAAACAAAACACAACCCCCCCCACGTGATTAACAGTGAAATGAAGCAGAAACAAACTACAGTCACATTTACCAAAAAATGAATGTATATTTAAAAAACACAACACAGAAAAAAAGCTTTTTTATATTTTTTAACAACATAGTTATCATCAACATTGTTATTCATATTAAAAGACAATAATAAAAAAAACACATAAACAAACCCTCTTTCTTCATTTGACAATCTGCTACAGTCAATAAAGTTTCCAAAAGCGCCAAATCCATCCATCCATCCATCCATCCATCCATGCATCCATTTTCTTCCGCTTCTCCGGGGTCGGGTCGCGGGGGCAGTAGGTGGAGCAGGTCATTCCAGACGCTTTCCAGCTCTTCCTGGGGGATATGAGTGTGCTTGGTGTGTCCTGGGGGATTCCGAGGAATTCCCAGGCCAGCCAAGAGATATAATCCCTCCAGTGGGTTCTGGGTCTGCCCCGGGGTCTCCTCCCAGGTGGACGTGTTCGGAAAACCTCCAGAGGAAGCCTCCCTGGAGGCATCCGAATCAGATGTCCATACCACCTCAACTGGCTCCTTTCGACGCGAAGGAGCAGCAGCTCTACTCCGAGCTCCGTCCAGATGTCTGAGCTCCTCACCCTATCTCTAAGGCTGAGCCCAGCCACCCTGCGGAGGAAACTCATTTCGACCGCTTGTATCCGCGATCTCGTTCTTTCGGTCACGACCCAAAGCTTGTGACCATAGGTGAGGGTTGGGACGTAGATGGACTGGTAAATCGAGAGCTTTGCCTTGCAGCTCAACTCTCTCTTCACCACAACGGTCTGGTACAGCGCCCGCATTTCTGCTGACGCCGCACTGAGCCGCCTATTTATCAATTCCTCCATATTCATAACCTGTGTTACACCTACCATCCATGTTTACTTCTGCAAACACTGAGCACGCTCGCTGCGTGTGACGTTGTTGTGTCCTCTTCTCTGCATGAGGGACACTTTTGGGTCTTATGAAGTTCACACATGAGATCACATACAAGTCGCATTTAATTGGAAATGTGAACGAACTCGCAAAAAAGTATGATTTCACAAAAAAATCCGAATTGAGCATTAAGTCCTGCAGTCTGAAAGTAGCCAATCTGTTGGACTGTTAAATCAGATAATACGCCATTATCCTTATTTGTGACATAAAAGGTCATGTCGGAGTCTGAATCCAAGGCTGTCGGTATGTAAAGGCTTTTTTATGGGTTCCATTTGTTTTTCCTTAAAACCTGTCG